TGCTTTCTCCCTTTGTTTTGAATATTAACAACCTCCTTTGTCAGATTCTTTGACTGAAGAAACTTAAGGGACTTTTTGACCACGTTATCAGGGAGGTTTGTTTCTCGTTTCATGTCTCTTGTCCAGATCCAATCAAATTGATTTAAACCGATTCAATTCAAAAAAATTGATTTATGATTTATAGCAGTTCCTCAGAACCAATTTGGGTATACAAATTATGTCTATATTGATTAATGGGTTAAATTCAATTTTTAAATTGATGATTAAAGTTTGTTCGATTCTCAAAATTGATTTAAAAAAATAAGATTTTATTTTACAGAGCCCTAATTCTCATTATACATTGCCAAGACTAATATCAGTTTTAAGATTTTATCTTGTTGGATGAAATGGAGCTAGATTAATATATACATATCACTACTTTCCTAGTTTATTTTTCTATTATTGAGCCATTTACTTTCTAATATATACATAGGATGCCATTTACTTTTCTATTTATATTGCTAATAAATAATAAGTATTGCTAATAAATAATAATTGTATCTGTATATTTAAATTCAGATAAAATGTTTGTTGTTGGAATATATATATATATCCTGTGGGTTATGAATAAGAAGTGGGCTGAAGAAGAAAAGAAAAGAGGAAAGTTGAAGGGATGTGTGAGTTTTAAAAAGTCCCACATTGGACAACTTATACGAGGTGAGAGGGTATATAAGATCATACCTCACACTCCTAAATTGCCGCTTAGGACACTACACTTTTGTGGAGGGGAGGGGAGCTAGGTGACCTTTGGTCTACCACACACGCACGCCGTTGTTCGGCAGGTTTGGATCTGTTCGATCATGTGTGAAATGAGAATAATTTTTTATTAAATTATTTTATTCATTTTTTGTCCCTATCCGTTGCTTCTTCAACCCAAACGTTTCTTCTTCCCGCCAGTCTTTTGAACATTTTGAATCGAACCGGTTCTTAATTTTCGGTTCGAACCGACGCGTTCATTCAATATTGAATCAAATCGGTCATCGGTTGTGCCCGTTTGCAGCCGTCAATCACGGCAGTTCTTCGCTACCGACGGTTCATCGTGATTGGTCACGGTCAGTGTCTATATATAGACCCTGACCCCTTTAGAAATTTCATCCAGTTTTTTGCATTGTTACTTTGCCAAATTTTTTCCTTCATCTGGTTTTGCATACTTCCTTCCATTTTTCGGTGTAATTCCTCTGGCATCTTGTAGTGTTCGTTCGGGCTGTTGACTGGTAGTGCCATCAATTTTCAGACGCAATCCGTTCTATCCTGAGAGACAAGTGTCCATCAACCTTTGGCATCAGTGAAGGGACAAATTGTCTTGAGGAGACACTTTCTGTGAGCTCAGATTTCTTCCACTATTTTGCATATTGTGTTCATTCCTTTTTAATACTGTGAGTTCAAAGGATGCGATGGTTTGAAGTCCAAGCATAACAAAACAAAAGAGCTTCTTCAGAATATTGAAATTGGAATTGGAATTTAGATTCATATTTAACTAGTTACTAAAAAAATATTGCCAACAATCTGTTTTGGAAGTACCTAAGAAAAATAATCTTCGAAGTAGCTATTTCAATTCCAAAGGTCGTGCCTGAAAACCCAGCTCTGTTTTGCCTAACCATCTTGAGGATTGTTGAGCTTTCCTTCATGTCGTGGAGATAAAATGGGTGTCACTACACCTAAACTCTATATTTAGATTTCGTTAGTTGCCCTTTGTTAAAAAAAAAAGTCAGGATTCATAGAGGTTAGTTTCATAAAATGATCTCACATTCCTAACAATATTTGACAATCATCCATACATAGAATCGGTAAACTTAACCCAACATTTCTGGTAATATTTTGCCTTACCTAATAGTTTTTTGGTAACATTCCCGAGAATCCTAACATATTCTTGAGAATCCTGACTCCCGTAAACAAAAAAATTTCTTCTCTGTCAAACGCCGCCCCCTTATACTTTCAACGGAGATGTCAAATGTGAGTTGATTTTGTGTGCTCCGGGCCCAAGGAAAAATTGGTGGGGCGGAGGTGAGAGAAAGAGAAAAAAGGTTGAGGAGAGATAAGAGAAAAGGAGAGAAAAAAATTAGTCCACGTGTCAATTTTTTAATGGAAGGACCATGGTGGTCCTGTACAATATTAAAAAATTTCGTCAAATGTTGTTATTAATGGATAAGAAATAAGTTGCTGTGAACAAGAGTTCCAAATGAAAGTAAGCCAGGTAATAGATCACACATTGCAACCCAAGATTTTATAATACTAAAGTTTTCTACCCTTCATCTGCTATAACAGTGAAAACATTTTCTCTGTTTTTCCCCCAACATTTATGAGTTGATTTGATAAGTTTGGTCCCAAGGTTTGAATTGTATTAGTTTTGCTCATCATCTTATGATGGTTGTCGAGAAAAACAATGAAAATACTTACAAACATGATTTGTTGTTATCTCTCCATATTAATTCAAGTTGATCCTAAACATTCTAATCTTATCATGTGCAAGGAGAATTTAAAGTAAGGTTTATCATTTTTTTCATTATTTGGTGGGGGAAAAAATCAAAATTACTACAATTTTGTATTTTTTATTTAAATTATAATATTTTAAAAAAATTTCCCACATCAAATATTAATGATTTCATGATATTAAAATGGGTAGTTTGGTCCATTGTTTTATAATCTAGTTAAAATATATAAATTTTATATATTTCTAATTTTTAAGTTCAATAATATAGGTAGATTAACAAAATTATCCCCATTTAAATTAAGTATCAATTTGTCATACTTTTTAAATTATATATCAATGTCCCTCTATTCGATCAAAGTTGACCAAATGGACCTCGCAATAAACTCAAATTATATATTTAATTAGATTTTATTCACTATTTGATATTTATTCGAATAAATGAGGAATTAGATTAACCAATTAAAAAAAGAAAAGGAAAAACAATATCAAATTTTTCGATAATAAGGAAAGAAAAAAATCAATATCATATCAGAATAATACGGAAAGAAAAATAAAAATAAAAAATATTATTATTATTTTTATGATGATAATAAATTTTGATATTTTTAAATTCATAGGAGTTTTGAAATATCATCACATCACTGAGTACATTGAATTTTATGGTCAGAAAATGAAAACATCAATAGTCAAATTATCATTGTCATTCATAAATTTGATAAAAATATTATTTAAGGTCTGTTTGATTTGCTAAAAATCAAGGGACTGGACAAGATAAAAAAAGGTGTGTTATGTTTGATTTGTGAAATAGCTCAAGCACGGGACATTTTAATGTAATTTTAGCATATATATTAGATTATTGACTAATTATGTATTGTGAAATTTTTTTAAAGAAATTTGATTATTAAAGGCTGACTTTTTAATTAAGCACGAATGAATAATTTTATTATAGTGTATAAAACTTTACATTGACGGCAGAGCAAATTTAAACTATTCCCACGATCAACATCAATTTGAAATTATGAATTTGCTTTTGCTCGTTTTCTATTCTTTCTTTCTTTCATTTTTTTTTCAATTGTTGTATGTACGCTCTCGTAAGGAAAAATGAAAAATGAATCCACCACTAAGTACATGCATAAACTAATAATGGATTATTCTAACTTAACTAATGGTCTCTGAGTTTGAGTCCATGGAAAAGCAATTATATTAAAATTTTATAAAAAGAATTTTGCAGCTCATATTGTTCTATGCGACTCATAATGAATTAATTAAGTAATCGATGAACTGATAAATTATATATAAAAAAATAAACTAACAACTATTGATTTAAGTAGTAAGGAACTTGTTTTTCTTAATTAAAAATCTCGAATTCGAATCTTGCATATTAAAAAATATGATCTTGGAATAGTCACACCTGTAATGGATCAGACTATCCAAATGAAAAATGGACCTCATCCAAAAAAAAGGATCCAAATTCTAAAAGATAAAAAAAACGCACCCTTTACTTGGGAAATTAAAACATAACTAGAAGATAGGCATGTAACTGACAACTTCAATTTTTAAAGTTTGGTCCTGTAGGTTTTTGTAAGAGCCTTTAATGACCAAGCATCTTTACTACTTTCACTGACCCCTTGCTATAACAGTGGCATTATGCCTACCCTTGCTTGCTTGTCATTAAATTGTTTTCGTTCACAAAAATTATATCTGCGAAGACTTGTAGAGAGTGAATCACTCACTGCTATTAAATCAAGTGAGAATATTCATGCTACAACAAATATGTGTAACCCATATATACCTCTGATGATTGCCCAAGCTGCTACAAGGAATATGCAGTTACAACATCGCTCTCATGGCAACCAGAACAAGTTCAACAAAATATTATAAACTACAGCAGATTCTTACAGAGCAATAAAAATCATCTGAGATCATTTAAACATACATCTTTAATCTACTCGACGAACAGGTTGAATGCGCATAAGCACAGCAAATAGCTTTCATTTTCTTTTCTTTTGTCCCCTTCTTTTTTGGAGATTCATAAAATGGTAGTAAAGATAGGTTACTGTAATATGGATTGTTGAGATATATAAAAAATATTAATGTATCTTCACTCAACAGCTTAATCTTTTGGGTTGAATTGGCCTTTACATGATATCAGAGCCTCGGTGTACCGGGTTCGATTCTCACCGCTCCCTATTTTCTTTCTAATGGAATTTCTTTCTTCGCACAAGTAGGTGGGCCTGTGCATTGTCCACCCTTCAAGTCCAATGGACTCTCGTGTGAGGGGGCGTGTTGAGATATATAAAAACTATTAATGTTTCCTCACCTAACTTAAGCTTTTAGATTGAATTGATCTTTACATGGATGATCGCCAACTGGGATCACTGACAGAGAGGGAATTCCAACCTGTGCATCTTCAGTCAACCCACTTAGAAAGTTTTAGTTTTAATACAGAGGGACCTTCGGTACATTGAGCAACAGAGTTACTCCAAAATATAAACACAAGCTGCTAGATGAGAGTGAAAACTTGGGAGGGTCATATCAAAACTATTAATTGGTATTTGACTCATTCAGAAGTCCAACCATTTCTGATAATAGACACAAGTTCTCGGGGAGACAATGCCATCTGGTGTACAAAAGTTTATTCGTGGACAAACTCCGCAAGGAATGGAAGCCATGGCCCCAGGTTTCTGTTCCCCTCTAACGCCACCCTTGCTTTTGCATCTATAACAAATTTTGCCAACAGGAACAGATGCAAAATCTCGAAACCCAGTGCTCGTCACCTCAATGATTTCATCATCCAAAACCAAAGTTCGTAAAATCTCTTCTATTTGCTGTGTGGTGACTTCAACGGCGAAGACCCCACTCTTTCTGCTCCACTCTAAAACTCCTTCACGTGTGGCAACTTTCTGCCTGAAAATGTATCTCATGCACACGTCCTTTGCAAGGTTTATGAACTCTGTATCAAGACTCCCTTCAGTATACCAATCCCCACCGGTGATTTCCTTGGAGGGTTCAAACTCTGCTGCCATGTAGTGCTTTCTCCCTTTGTTTTGAATATTAACAACCTCCTTTATCAGATTCTTTGACTGAAGAAACTTAAAGGATTTTTTGACCACGTTATCAGGGAGGTTTGTTTCTCGTTTCATGTCTCCTGTCCAGATCCCCATGTCTTTCTTGCTATGAATGAGATTATAGAGTATGCGTTCTCCGTCAGTCAAAGACCCAGAAACTAAAGCCAAGTCTTGTCGTTTCCTTTTAAGGGAAGAAGATCCTTGCAAACGACTCATTCCTTATAAGCGAAAAATGGAAAGTACAATTGTAAGTAATTATATTACTGAAATGGTTCATCGAAAATTGAAGTACTTTAACTTTAAAATGAATAACACTTGCCTGTAGATCATATTATAAATTAAAATGTTGAGTGAATCATGATAGAGGATTTTAAAACCCTGTTACATCTAAATCTTTGAACATGAAAAAAAGGAAATCAGCACTATTGGAAAATTAATATAATCCAATGATCATTATTTTAAGACATCTACGACTACGACTACGACAACTCCAACCCCAGGACAAGTGCCAGAATCCAAAATTCATAATAAAGACATCTCTCAAGTAGTTTTTATTTTCAAGGCAACAGTAAAAGAGATAACGAGACTACAAACCTTTAACTAAAATAACCAATACCCAATAATCATGATGAAATAACAAAGAAATGTTTGCCCATTGTAACTCTGAAGCCACAATTTTGCTAGACTAATTGTGAATCACAGGTCCTCTAATGGTGTTTCTCTCAAACACTTCAAACACACAAGGAGTTCTCTGAATATACCTCTTTGTATATCTTTTAACATTCAAGCCTTACATTCAAATGATTTACATGGTACTATTTAAAAGCAATAGCAAATAACTAGAAATACTAATGACTAACTTAGGAAATCTAAACACATTAATGACTTCTTCTTAGAAACTTTAAACTCATTAATGTCCACTAACAAATTCCTAAGAGACACACCCCTTTATCACAAAACTCTTCATTTTCTATTTTCTTTAATTAAATAAAGTTTAAAACCCAACAAAACTCCTCCTTAAACTTTAATATCTCTACCATCCTTCATTCCCATCTTCTTCTTGCAATTTTCAAACAACAACGTCGGCAGGGGCTTTGTAAAAATATCTCCAACTTGATCTCAGCTTGCAACATGAGTGAGCTCCACTTTTCCTTCTTTGACTTGATCTCGGATGAAATGAAACCTGACATCAATATGCTTACTCCTCTCATGATTGACCGGGTTCTTTGCTAACTCGATTACAGACTTGTTGTCAACTCGGATTTCGGTTGCGCCGACTTGCCCTTGCTCCAGCTTGCTTAGTAAATTCCTTAGCCATATTGCATGGCAAACACACCAAGATGCCGCAACATACTCAGCTTCACATGTAGACAGGGTCACAATGGGTTCCTTCTTTGACACCCACGTGAAAGCCGTGTTTCCCATGAAAAACACATAGCCAGCCGTGCTCTTTCTATCATCAACATCTCCGCACCAATCACTGTCTGAATAACCCGTCAACTTGTATTTGTCCGTCTTCGAGTAATGAAGTCCTTGAGAGATTGTTTCCTTCACATATCTCAGAATTCTCTTAGCCGCCTTCCAGTGAGTGTACCCAGGGTCTTCCATAAATCGACTTATGATCCCAACACTCAGACAAAGATCTGGCCTCGTACAAGTCAAGTACCTCAGACTTCCAACTAAACTCCGGTAGTAACTCGGATCAACTCTCTCCTCCATCATACTTCGAAAGTTTCAACCCGGGTTCCATTGGCGTTGAAACCGGGTTGCAGTCACTCATTTTAAACTTCTCTAAAATTCCTTTTGCATAGGCTTCCTGAGAGACGAAGATCCCAGATTTGTCTTTTCTGACCTCCAGACCAAGAAAATACCTCATCAGACCGAGATCCGTCATCTCGAATTCTTCCGTCATTTTCTTCTTGAAGTCTTTTATCATTCTTTCATCATTACCCAGAAAAATTAAGTCATCAACATATAAGGCAACAAGTAAAATTTTACCTTCCTTCTTCTTTACATAGAGAGCATGTTCATATGGACACTGCTCAAATCCATCCTTTTTGAAGTAATTGTCAATTCTTGTGTTCCAGGCTCTTGGGGCCTGCTTCAATCCATACAAAGCTTTCTTCAGTCTCAACACTTTTCTTTCTTGTCCGGCTTTCATGAATCCCGGAGGTTGTTCCAGATATACCTCCTCTTCGAGTACTCTATTTAAGAATGCCGACTTCACATCCATCTGATAGATCGGCCATCCGAATCGGGCTGCTTGAGAGATCAACAGCCTGATTGTCTCCATTCTTGCTACGGGTGCGAACACCTCGTCATAATCAATGCCATCCTTCTGCCTATACCCTTTCGCCACTAGCCGGGCTTTGTATCTTTCGATCTCCCCCTTAGCGTTCATTTTCTTCTTGTAGACCCATTTCACACCAATGGCCCGACTTCCTCTGGGCAGCTCGGCAAACTCTCACGTCTTGTTCTTTTCTATCGCCTTTATTTCCTCCTCCATGGCTGATTGCCATTTCTCATCTCGGATTGCTTCTTCAAAGCTTACTTCTTCAGAATCTGCTAACAGACATACCAAATGTGCTTCACTGGTGGAATCATACAAATCTTGTAGACTCCTCAATCTCGGTTGTCTCTGCTCTTCATCACTATCTGAGTCAATCGAATTCTCAGGAATCCGGGTCGAAGGTTGTTCGACCTCAATTGATTTTAATCTGGGTTCCACATTGACCCCGGATGGACTACTTCAGTCCCATCCATCTTCCTCATTCACTTTTACATCTCGGCTCACCAACACCTTTTTATTGACGGGGTCCAGCAAATTGTACCCCTTCGTCTTCTTATCATAGCCAATAAACACATACTTCTTACTTTTATCTTCTAGCTTTGTCCTCAATTGATCCGGTATGTGTGCATACGCAACACTACCAAAAATCTTGAAATGAGCCACTGATGGCTTTAGACCACTCCATGCTTCTTGTGGAGTTTTATCATTCACACTTGAGTGCGGACATCGGTTTTGCACATACACGGCACATTGCACGGCTTCTCCCCAGAACTCCTTTGGCATGTTCTTCGTTTTTAGCATAGATCGGACCATATCCAGGATAGTCCGGTTCTTTCTCTCAGCTACTCCATTTTGCTGGGGCGAGTACGGAGCGGTCAGGAACCGCCTTATCCCATGTTCTTCACAATACTTCTTGAAAGCTATTGACACATACTCCCCACCTCGGTCTGAGCGGACCGACTTGATGTATCTTCCAGTACCATTCTCTATCATTGTTTTAAAACTCCTGAATGCCTCTAGCACCTCAGATTTTTCCTTCAAAAAATACACCCAAGTTTTTCGACTGAAATCATCAATAAAGGTTACAAAATACTTCTTACCACTGAAAGACCCCGGAGTAATGGGTCCACACAGGTCGGTATGTATCAACTCCAGAGGCTTCCTAGCTCGGTATCTTGCCATCCTTTGGAACGGGCTTCTCGCATGTTTTCCCAATACGCAGTCCTCGCAAAATCTTCCTTCAGAATTAATCTTCGGTAGTCCCACTACCATGTCCTTCTTCATCATCTCGGTCAGACCACCATAATGAAGGTGTCCAAACCGTCTATGCCACAAGTCCATCTGATTTTCTACCCCGGCTTGAATACAGCCGACCTCCATGCTCCTTAGACTCAGCTTGTACATTCTGTTCTTTTCCATCTGAACTCGGGCTATCAGACGCCCTTGTTTGTCTTTCAACAGTAGAACTCGGTCTGTCATTAGAACCGAGTAACCCTTCTCCATCAGCTGTCCAATGCTCAATATGTTACTTTTGAGCTCGGGCATGTAATACACGTCCCGGATTATACCAACTCGTCCATCCTTTTGCAAGAAACAGATCGTACCTCGACCCTTTACTTCAATTTTGGACGCGTCTCCAAAAGAGACATGTCCGGCTTCCACCGTCTTCAACTCCTTAAACAAGTGTTTGTAACCACACATGTGATTACTGGCACCGGTATCCAAATACCACTCCGTCTCATTCTTTGAACTGGTTTCACCATGGGCTAGCATAAGAACTCCTCCATCTCCTTCTACGGCGAGGTTTGAAGCCTCGTCAACTCTTCTTTCATCTCGGCAATCCTTAGCGAAATGCCCAACTCGGCCACAGTTGTAACACTTGTCCGAGTTGCAATCTCTTGAGTAATAGCCATACTTGCCACACTTGTAACATTCCACATTTGTTTGATTTGACCACCGGCCTCTTCCACCTCGGCCACGTCCTCTTCCTCTCTGACTCGACTCAGCTCTTTCTTCATTTCTCACCTCATGACCTCGGCCACGACCACCACGGCCATTTCCACGTCCTGCTCGTCCACGACCTCTACCTCGGACATTTTGAGAATATAGCGCCTTCTCATCTTTAATGGTTGCCTTTGTCTGGAGTGCTTGCTCCAGCGACTCCTCCTTTTTCTTCTTCTTGCGCTGCTCATGCGCCTCAAGGGAACCTGCTAGCTCTTCAACAGAAAGCGTAGCCAAGTCCTTCGACTCCTCAATTGCACATACCACGTTTTCGAAGTCGTCTGTCAACGACCGGAGAATCTTTTCAACAACTCTAGTCTCAGATAATTCCTCACCATTCTGCTTTAACTGATTCACCACGGCTTGAACGCGGGTGATGAACTCGGATACACCCTCTGAATCTTTCATCTTCATGCCTTCCAACTCGCCACGTAGAGTTTGAAGTCGGACCTGCTTTACTCGGTCAGCACCTTTATAGACATTTTCCAAGATGACCCATGCTTCCTTAGACGTCGTTGCTCCTGCTATCTTCTCAAATCTGGACTCGTCTACAGCTCGGAAAAGCGTGTATAAGGCTGACTTGTCCTTAGCACACGTCTCTTTCAACGCCTTGGTTTGAGCTGCTGTAAATCCTGCAGTGGTTGCAGGTTCAGCAAAACCGTCCTGAACAACATCCCAAGCATCCTGGGATCCGAGCAACGCCTTCATCTGGATACTCCAATTCACGTAATTCGCCTTTGTCAGGCGGGGCAACGACATACTGGAAGTGCTCACACTCTCCATAACTCAAGCTCTGATACCAATTTGTGAATCACAGGTCCTCTAATGGTGTTTCTCTCAAACACTTCAAACATACAAGGAGTTCTCTGAATATACCTCTTTGTATATCTTTTAACATTCAAGCCTTACATTCAAATGATTTACATGGTACTATTTAAAAGCAATAGCAAATAACTAGAAATACTAATGACTAACTTAGGAAATCTAAACACATTAATGACTACTTCTTAGAAACTTTAAACTCATTAATGTCCACTAACAAATTCCTAAGAGACACACCCCTTTATCACAAAACTCTTCATTTTCTATTTTCTTTAATTAAATAAAGTTTAAAACCCAACACTAATCACATTCTCGATGTGTGTCAAAATTGCAAGGGGATTGATCAATTCCCCGAAAAAATTTATAGCTTCCACTTCCCTTAGCTTGAAAGTGAAGACATCAAATTTGAAAGAAAACAGTCTGATGCAACCGAAGACATGAATTCACATATACTTAGCAGAAACTACACACACATGCACAGTCCTGTATATGCATTTGACTGAATGTAATTCATATTTGGGGATAACAAAATATAATACAAAAGCACATGAAAAGTTAAGTAAGGAAAAAGTTCAACAAAATCAGATGCATATGTTGTTCGTATATAGGTGTCCTAGAGACGATCTGTTACATCAGATCACCTTTTACTACTTATATTTCATGATTTATTTAATATATGAGCACATTTTATCTTTTTCATATTTTGTCTCGCCTTAATATTAGGTTAATATGCGATTAAAGATAAAAGCCCCAGGAATAGAACAGGTGTTCATGTGAGGATCTATGATAGGGATCATGATCATGAGAACTCGACGACACCACATGTCTATTGCCTAAAGTATGTTCCTAGTCTTGAATCACCAAGAGAGGGCATTGGTGATCTCAATAAGACTAGTACGACATCTTCTACTTGTATGGAGATACAAGGTAGGGACCTCATGGTATGCAGGTATGGTGATACCTTAGCTGATGTCGTAGGTGGATCTGTTCAGGAACATATAGCACTGAACTGCCCGCCGAGAGACTCCACAAGGATTTCACTAAGTATCATTGGATTTGTTTAGTCTCTCATCGTTTGGTAGTGCGGATCGTCCTAGACTTAAGGATGTCATCGAACACTATGTCCTAGGGTTATACTTTGACTGTACAACTCTATCCGCCTGAAACATGGGGAGAACAGTGTACTCTTCGGTATAACTTGAATACATGAGTCTAGATGGACATGCCGAGAGGACTCATAGTCCCCTATAAGGGATTAGTCGTTCACAAGACCGGTGGGACTTGGATGACTTATGATTGACTCGGGAATCTATGCATAGTAAGTGATCATGAGGAGTCATGATCAATCTTAGAGTCAATAGAAAAAGATTCATAGTTCTGTGAAAAGCTATATTTAGTCAACAAGATAGATGATACTATTTCCTTGCTCTCGACTAAATGTGAATGACGATATGAGGGATGATTCCGACACGGTATCCAAATTAGAAAGGTAGAT